ACTTCAACTCCCAGAATTCCCCAGCCAGCCATGCTGGCTGGGGAATTCTGGGAGTTGAAGTCCACCCATCTTCAAGTCGCCAAGGTTGAGGAACACTGCTCTACAGTATACTGTACTGTAGCTTTAGCATCTATCCAGGCCCTGATGCTCAGTAATATATATATATTAGTATATAGGAATATACAGAAGCTGTCAGGCCTAGATTTTGTTCCACCTCAAGCGCCCAGAGCAGAGAGGTATGGATATTACACTGTCATTTAATGTACGTGGCAGCACAGAAGTCATGTAAAACTGCGTAGAGTAGTACGTAGTTCTCTACTCTGAGAACTTAAGGGAAGGTGGGCTTGCTCTACCATTCAGAAGTTCACTGGGAGATTTTGAGCTAGTCATTCTTCTTCATCCCAGCCTACCCTGCAGGGAGGACAAAGTGCCATACGGGCTGCCTTCAGGTCCTGGGGGGAAAACAGGGTGTAAACCTCGCAGGTAAACAGGCTGTGGATGGATGGCTTGTACACTCGCTACTCATCTCTCTGGCAAGTCCTTTGTTCACCGCCTTCTCCCTGACGGTGGGATGCCCGATCTTCGACTGAAATTATTTCCACCCTGCTTCTGCACGTGGTGTGCTGTAATGTCCTGTTCACAGCCTGATAAGGATTCAGGAGGTGGCTGGGAAAGCATAATGACACCTGCACATTCCTCCCGGCATGGGAAAGAGGCAGCCGGCCCACCGGTTCAGAGAGGGGGCATCAGAAAAAAACGGAAAAAGCCTCTGCGCTAACGAGCGGAAAGATAAATGAGGCTCTCAAATGAAAGTAATCCAGTTGTTGAAATGTCGGTACCCTATCCTCTTTCCCTTCCCATAACTCTTATTTGAAAAGACTCCATGAGAATCTCGCCCTCGCCAAGAATCTGACACAGATCACTTAGCTGCTGCAGATTTTAGGCAAGGTAGGGTCCTCTGTAATGCTCTTTGTGTGCGGACGCGTTTCCTTTTACTCCTGGTAGGAGCCCGGAGAGAGGACTGAACTCCTAACTTGGAGCTCTTGGAGACCCAGCAGCCAGGGGTCCTTAAAAGGGCCACCTCCGCTCCTTCCTGCAGATAAGAACTCTTCATGTTGAGTTACCGAGAACGCTCCTTTATTTATTCACTTGATTTATATCCTGTCTTTATATCCTGTGCAGCTGAAGGCAGCTGACATAAAGCTCCTTCTTCCTTTTTTCCCCCCAAATCCAAAGGAGTCCCATTTTATTCAAAGGCTCACCAATAAACAAAATAAAACTGGTTAGTTGGAAAAAGCACTCTCAGATCTGAAATTTTGCTACCGTAGACTAACACAGTTCTCTGACCATGTCTAAGTTTCCCACAACCACAACCCTGTGAGGTGGGTTGGCAGAGAGAATGGAACAGGCTCAGAATCACCCGGGGACCTTCCACGCCTACGGGAGGACTCGAATTCACATCCTCCCAGCTTCTGCTCCAGCGCTTTAACCACTACAGTACACCACCCTGGTTCTGTTACTACTTCTGCTCTGTGGACAGGCCCGATTGGCTGAGGCACGGTAGAGATCTATTGCAAACCTTTCCAATGTATTTTACACATATGTATGTGCACACAAACACACACACACACACACACTTCTGAAGTGCTCCATTTTTAATTAAGGGCGAGCATTATATTTCTACACACATTTCTGCATTAAAAAGCATTTCCACCCCTACTCATCCAGCAGAAATAATGGCATTTAAAGGACACCGAGTGTATTGTGACGTCATCACTCAACTTATGGCAATTGATTTGCACAGTGACTTCATAATGGACATGGTGTCATTTCCTCTCTCTCCCCCCCCATCTCCAAGTGTGGCACTCATTTGCATACGTAATCAGGCTTCGACCCCCTGGCAGATGTGTTAGACCACAACTCCCCAAATTCCCATCCCTCCCTGTCTGTGGCTGGGAATTCTGGGAAATGCAGTCACAAAGCATAGGGAGATCCTTTAGCCGTGATGCTGGAAGTGCTGGTCTCACTGTATTTGTATTTGGAAGGCCGGTACGGAAGGGGTGCGAGGGAAGTAGGATTCGGTGGCCCACCAGGCTTGGTGGAGCAACGAAGACAGATGGACACCCTGTGGCTTTTTGCCTTCATCAATAAGAGAAAATGCTTTGCGAGGAAGAGGCCCCAAATCTTACCTTGTTATTGATGTCAGAGATGAGGATCCCCTTGAGAGCCAAGCTGATCTGATTGTAGAGTTGGCTGCAAGAAGAAGGAGTCAGTGCCCGTGGGCTGCAATCTCAGCCTTGTCCCTGCCATGCTTTTTGAGGGGGAATCTCAGCAGGGGTCTTACAAAAGAGCATCGTTTAGCCAATGCGTGGATGGGGGGCTAGGATAGCTTCCCCTTGCAGAAGAAGGCTTTAGCAGGGGGTTAGAGATGGGGAAGTTTGTCTTGCTGAAAGGAAGCCCTCTGCACTTGGAAGAGTGACCCCTGTCCTTTGCATAGGAAAGGAGAGAGGTTGGAGAAGGAACCAACCTGGTTCACACCACATGGATGGAGATGTTCCTTTACAAAGTACCAACCTCCCTACCAGACACATATGGCATATATTCACATAACGTGGGAAGACAAAGCTGGGGTTCCCACAACCCGCAGGACCACTTGATTGGAAGCCTCCAGCATCTACAACACTCTCCTTCTGAATCCCAAGAAGCCACCAGAGATGACTTTCCCCTTGGCCATTGGAAGAGTGGCATGTTGGGCTTCGCTTGACGGATTAACCAAGTATTGTGGGTTGTAAAATAGACAGGGGTAGGCAGTGTGCTCCTTGGATCCCACCAGGGATGTTTATAGATGGCAGCTTCCATTGTGTGGTTGGGGCTACTGTCTTGACTCTTTTGACACCCTGTGGACAGCCCTGAGGCCCATCAAGTCCTCGGTCCCAGTTGATTTTTAAAAAAAAAGATAATATAGAGCAGTGTTTCTCAACCTTGGGAATTTTAAGCTGTGTGGACTTCAACTTCCAGAAGGGTTAGGGTTAGGGTTAGGGTTAGGGTTAGGGTTAGGGTTAGGGTTCTGGGAGTTGAAGTCCACACAGCTTAAAGTTCCCAAGGTCGAGAAACACTGATATATAGAGAAATAAAAACAAATAAAAAAGGGCCAATCACCAGCTTTTAGCAGCATTTTTGCAGGACGCCTTCAGGCCCCACTAAAGTCCAGAGAAAGCAACATATTCTGCTAAGTGGTTGTTCTGGGAATGTGTGGTGGCCATTTGGGAGTGTGCCCATCAGAAGCTCTCAAAATCTCATATCTGCCCACAGCCCCCACCCTCAATCTCTTGTTCCCCAGGTTTAGGGCTTAGCATAGAGCGTGAACCCAGCTGAGCATCACTTTCCCAAACAACAATGGTGAATCCATGGTTTCACACCCCACATGAACCTGGCCAAGGAGACACTTTCCTGGAATGGATTTCCCACTTGTCAAGGTCAGGACGGCTGCTTTTTATGACTAAGGCAGCGACGTAGGAAAACGTGGAACGCAATCTGTTGCTCACCTGTTCCACCCAGAAAACTTCATATCGAGGTCTGTAATGTTGGAATAGCAGCTGGCTTGCTGAACCAGGGGTTGTCCTCCATCATCCACGTCCAGGTGAAGGACAACAAAGAGGGACAGTCGATCAACGCTGACCTCAATTCTGCCACTCTCCTTTCTAAGGGGGTGGAGGGAATCTGGGTATTAACCTCCCCGCGGTCACATTTTGATACCTTCAGGCAGAGGTAAAAAAACGTGGACATGCACAATTGAGGCCCCGCCCCTTTTTAACATGAATTTCTTTGGGTGCATTCTAATAACAACAGTTAGAAAACATCCATGATTTAAACCAGATAGTACAATGGAAATACACAGATAATACACAGAGGGTGAGGTTCAAATAGAACCATAATGACACCATCATGATTTATTCCAATGTTTCCCAACCTTAATAACTGTAAGATGTGTTGGCGATCAACACCAACCCACTCTCCTCCCCACCC